AAATAACAAAAATTCTTCAGCCAGTTTACTTTGTACAAGGTCAATAAAGTATAGATTACACATATTACTCAAATCCTTTTTTTTTTTCGGAAAAACTATAGGCAAATCTTCCACTTAAGGCAAAATTTTCCCATTTACTGAGCCTGCAATAACTTTACAGTTTTTTGACAATAAACAGATTCTGCATGCCTGCTTACCGTTATCAAACCACCGCCGATCGATGCTGGTATAAAATGTTTCTCCTTTATACGCGTCAGGTTTTGCTAATCTCGTACATAGTCCATCTGCGCCCTTTGAATGATGCTGAGAAAAGCCAGACCGTGATGTAAAGGAGTAGTTGCTAACAGGTCAAATGAACATAATGTAGGATGTAGCATAAGGTTACGTGTAGCAAGTTGGTCTGCGTTTATTCTTGCGCCGTCTTCCTCAGCTCGCTGGTTCATTTCGATCCTCAATATTGGCATACTTGGGACTTTTTCATTTGCATTATTTTCATGGGACGTCTTTCTCTTGTGTGGTTCGAGATACGTCTATTAAACCACTTTAGCAGATTATATTTCGTTTAGAATTTGAAAAATTCTCTTTGCTATACGTGAACGTGTTTTTATAGATAAGAATGATCCACGTCTCAAAAGCAGGACAAGTTAAATCGATCAATATTTGCCATGTTCTTCTACGCTTGAAATGCTTTGCTTTGCTCAGAGCATCGTCTGCTCTGTTCTCAATGTTCTGCTCTGCTATCTGAGGTAGATTGACTTTGAAAAATACACAAAGGAATACTTTCCGCAGTAAAGAAACGAGCTTAAAAATTCCATTGAGAGCGGACTCACAAAAGTGGGGTGAATTTGTTCTACCTAAGGCGGCGAACTCGGTAGTTGATGGCGAACCCGCAATGGGTGAAACCTCAAAGCAATATTCGAGGTTCTACCGTAATCAGTAAAATGAAAGTTAACTATATAAAATAATTTTGTCATAGTAGTTGTACATGGTATTTGTCATAGTAGTTGTACATGGTATTTAATATTTGCACGAAACTTTAAAATATACGTCCTAACAGTTTACTGGAGGACTGGTTACTATCGAACCTGATATACACATTACTTACCTCTACTAATTCGGAGAGACTTCCATAAAAAACATCATCGTCTACTCTAAGTTTTCCACAGTCAGTCACTCTGACTCTGTAGTGCTTAACATTGTTAGCATCATTGTCAGCATAGCTGTGAAGAAGAATGCACGATATGTGCGCTTATGAGCTAAAATGTCGAAATGGTAAAACGATGAGTTGAAGCAATAGAATGCACACATTAAGGTATCATTAGTAGAACCATGTCAATGTATACTGCCAACAAACTGATGAGGGGAGAATTATCCACTGCAGCACAAGCATATATAGGGTAAGACCAGCCTATTATATCTCTTAAGCAACCAAGGTGGCCTTTCTTTCGAAACAGACATTGGTACGGAACATTTAAGGTAAGTATAAAAAAATTGTACGATGAATTTTTCTTCTGAGGAATCACCTTAAGGAGCTAAGTATTGACTACGAGCCACCAAGGAGTTATTAGGGCCAAGTTTCCAAGAACCTTTAATTAAAGAGTTCCCCTGTGACACCTTGCGATAAGCGAAGCGTCCGTCTGTTTAATATTCCTCGAAGATACAAAAAGTTTACTTTATAATTACGACAAACTACAGACATACCAGACCGAAATAGCATATTCCCCCTTATAGGTGAAACTGTTTCTTATCAGAAACAATCCGTCTTCGCAAGGGTTAAGGAGCCTCTTAGTCTCTATTCTGCTTATATCCCCATGAAACCATCTGTGATTTTGATCAAAACAAAAATAAACAAAAGCTTCCA